AAAAAAAAAAAAAAAAAAAAAAAAAAAAAAAAAAGAAAGAAAGAAAGAAAGAAAAGGAGAGAAAATGTTGGAACGTTTTAATTAAGAAGAGAAGAATAATCGACGACGGCGATGAAATGGCGGAGCAGGTATACACTCGAGCGATGACTGGTACCGGATTGATTCGAAACGGCGTATTTGTGCCATCGCACAGCTTCCTCTCCGCGACGACTAACTGCGATGCTTTGATTCGATTACTGTCCCCTATCCTGACGAGTCCGCTCGTTACATCGGATTTGCATTCGAGTCGCTTACTTCTATTTTCAAACTCTGCCCGCGTATTCCTGCTCTGTCGTTTCACGAGGCTCTGGTTTATCGTAACGGTTCCTGTATTAATTTATTTTTTGGCGATGGAATTAAGTAGCTCATTTGTTTCCTGCCTATTTTCATTCGATTTTGGTTGTAAAAGTAGATTTTCGTATTTTATCTTTTTTATATTGTAATCTGCTGTAAAGAACAAGTCTTGATCGTTAAGTTAAAAGGTATGAAGAAGAAAAAAAAGAGAAAAAAAGAAGATGATCATTTGTTCTTTTGATTGGAAATGATTGTTGAAATTGTTGTAAAAATAATTTTTAGTTTTGATCATGAATATTATTGAGTTATTGGATTTTGAATTGATTTCGTATTCTTAATTAATATTTACTTTTCTGTAGTTAATATTTAGATTTAATATTTTTTTGTAATAAAAACGAGAATTAATTTTAACAATAGTCGAATATGGCAGAGCAAGAGCAAAAAAAAAATATATAAATAAAAAATTTGAATAATATTATTACTCGTGAAAAATATTTGATAATTTGCGAATAACACGTAGAAGAATAGAAAAAGTTTGCGTATAAATTGGAAAAAGTAATACCGGCTGTCAATTAGATTTGTTCGTGTAAATCATTGTTTTCGAGCAACTATCGTTTAAGAACATAATGTAAAAACAATGAAACTCGGCTTGTGGCAGATTTTTTTGTTCAGAGGCAACAATGGAAAAAAAAAAATTTATAATGAAAAACGAGACGACACAGCATCGAGCTATATTTATGGAAACAGAGTGTCATGTTTGGCAGGATGACAACATTGAATGATCGTCTAGCACTAGAGACGACATAAAACAAAATAAATAAACAGATCTAAAATTTTGTTCAAACTGTAACACGGACTGCGCACAACTCGTTCTCTCACACTATCAAAACTTACAAAACAAATGTTGTCTTCGACGTTGTTGAACGTCATCGAAAAAGAGGAAGCGACGTAACATTTTTAATTTGTTTCAGTTATTAGGAAAACGTGAAATGAAGAAACGGGAAATGCGTAGGATCTAATACTAACGCGTAGCGTTAATATTTCATGTTTCTATAAATACGTAGCAAATTACGTGGAAGATATAAATAATGAATTTGGATCGTCGACAATCGACAGATCGTCCAAGGAAAATACGCGACAACTTTAGCTCTTGCTAAGATACGAGGTAATATTCAAGTATTCAATATATTAAAAATGAGACCACCACGTTTCGACGAGTTTACTATCGTGGATGTTGATTTTTTAAGAGATCTCGAGCCTAGGGAACCCTAGAACGCAAGTTCTGGTAATCTCTATATCCTAGAATTGTGGAGTGAAAATTTCCACGATAATTCTACACGATCTCGTAGGTTTTAATATAATTTAGAGATTTTAACAAAAATCTTAGATTTATCACATTATTAAAATTCCAAGATGATTAATATATCGAACTGTTTCATCGAACTTATTAATAACTCGCATTTCACAACTTTGATTTTATCATATTTCACCTGAAACCTGAAACATCGTTTGCATCCACGATTTTCCATTAGCATTCTACTCGTTCTATATTTCTTATCATCAAACCGATCTCCTTCTTTCCTCTTAAAAATCTATAAAACAAGTTTTCCTCCATTATCACATTCGTCTTCCAACAAATTCTAAATTCCCTTTTCGACCAACAATGCCAGGAAAAATGAATAACATCGTTGTAACAGGAATTACAAAACGTACATTCCTTCCAACTCTCTCAAGATCCTCCCAGACATCTTGACCCATATATAATATCTCTATCGATTAGCCGTCCCTCGTTAAAATTATGAAATTAAATCAGCTTGTTAATTTGCAACCGTGAAAATCAAGGATTCCGCTCGTCGAACCGTGGAAACCGTGGCCGTAGCTTATTATCGTCCCTCGTGGATTTCGCCGATCCATGCCGGTGATAACGTCCACCACCGTGACGTCCATACGTGCATTAACGTTCACGACCGTGTTGAAAACTCGTTTCCACCGGTGCACTTACGTACAAGGCAAAAATACGGAATATCGCGGACTCGATTTCCATCGGGAGGGAGAAAGGCGGCCGATTCGAGCCGATGTCGAGCTCGAAATAAAACAGGCATTCTTTCGAAATTTTTCCGCGACACGACATGTTTTCTCATATGTTCTTGGACGTTTTCTTTTTTCAACGTGTGTCGATGATTTAAAAAAAAGGAAACGAACTGGAAACGCGTCGAGAGAAAAAATGATGATCATGTTTATCGAATCGAGTGTGATCGTAATTAGTTCGTAAAATGAAGTAATTACAAAACTTGGCTGTTTTACGATCAAAAATTTGGCTCAAGAAGATCAATTTCGTGTTAATGGCTTTCGAAAGTTTAATATTATTGGATAAGGGAAACCGGTATGGTTATGTTTAGCGAGGATGGAGAAGATAGGATGTAATCGCGTGAAATTTATTATTTCCATTGAAAAATTGTAATATCGTTCGTTACGGTTCTAAGAAGTTGAAATTGAATACGTATCATTACAGTTATATAGAATTGATAAGACTTTAATGTATCAATGAAAATGTCACGAGATGTGAAAGTTTCAAAAGGTTAAAAGTAAAGGTGATAAGATAGGTCATGGTTACGATCTATCACGGGTTTGAAGGACGCGTCGAAACGAGATTGATCGAGATGATTGCAGAGATAGATGATCATCATCGGATGTGTTTAAAGGGAAAAGAAAAATCGAAAAAAAAAAAAAAAAAATTCGAAAATCAACAGGCAAACATTGCTCGTTAAAAGTTTGCTCTTGTACTTTTCCCATGATTCGAACGAGTGGAAAAATCGTAATGGAAAAATCGATCGAGTTTCTATTTAAAAAAATCGTATGATTTTTCACGGGAGATTTCGGTTTAATCGAACGCGACGCGTTAAAAAGGAGATAAAGAAGGAAAGGTTGATTTACACCCACGATCTGCTCACGTTCCCGGTTACAGTTCGATGAAATATTATTCAGTTCTCGTTCTCGAGGGATAATATTTTAAGGGGGAACGTGACTGGACAGTCACTGTGAATCAGAGTCTCGAGATCGTTGGTGGCTGAGTTAAATATTCCCCGTTTGGTGGATGGTAAAAAGATGCGATGGATTTTCTCCGTTTCCGGTTACGATTCGATGGCGAATAATATTACGTGCACGAATACTTTACAATCAACCGCATCGTTTAACGAGTTTTCGATTGAAAAACGATGATTAAAAAATGCGATTCGTGTTTTCACCGTTATTTTTCATTATTTTCTTTAGCATTTTAACTTTATTATTCTTAATTACGATTCGATCGTGAAAGAAGAAAACATGGTAGTAAAGAAAAAAAAAAAAAAATAAAAAAAAGATGAATTTTTATTATTATATCATAATATAGATTTTCAATGTACGTTATTCCTGTATTGTGGAAAATTAATTATCGATGGGAGAGGGGTTTTGATGAAATTTTAATTGCTCGAATTTCAAATATATCTGTAAAATAATTAATCTGATTTTATATATTGATAAATGAATATATTATTGTATATACGAATTAATAAATCATTAATATTTAAACGGATTTAAGTATCTT